CTGCTGTCAGCAAGAAACTGAATCCACCAAGCGAACTTTAGTTAAAAGAAACAAAGCTTTGCCTGAGCAGGTTTGGATTGAAGCAGAAGAAAAAGCGTAATGCAAACGAGCAATAAATACGAGGAATCTGAGTAAAATAGTCAGTTGGACACAAGTGTGAAGAGCCCCCTGAGAGATTCAGAAGGTGGGCGCCGGCACCACCTACGCCCAGAGTGCCTGGCAGCCCAGGGAGTTCTCAGTCCCACCTTGGGGAGCAGGCCCAGAATGCCCTGGAGAAAGGACTCAGCTTAGGGAGAGGCATAACCACATGGAGACAAGGGAATGGCTCTGACTGACTGACAGGTTCATATGTAGACACTTACCTTAGACACCCAAGTTTATTAAGTTATTAGTAATAATAGGCAACTTATTGTATAAAACAAGAATTTAGTCATTTCTGTGTTCAATGGGAAGAAAAGCTGGCAAGAGTAAACATTGACTTTGTTTTGCTAGGTGGATTGGTGACTCCAAGACCCCCAGGTTTGCTGATTCATTAGGAGAACTCATGGCTTTGCTTTATTTCAGGGGAAGGACAGGGCAAAATTTGCAAAGGCTCCAGGGGAGATATGGGGAGGGGGGGTCAGGCACTGGCGCCCAAGGTCCCCTCCCAGGTGACTCATAGGGGAGCACTAAACCCCTCAGCATTGAGTCCTGGGACACCTGAAATGCTGCCAGCAGAGACTCCGGGCCCTGAGATTTTGTTCCTGATGCTGTGGGCATCCAATACCTGACAAACAGCCAAGTTCTTTCCCGGAAGGAAAGCCCTGTGTTTAATACAAACCACATTGTTTGTACAAACAGTTTAGGCACAGGGAGCCCCTCTTAACTAAAAATAGTGGAACCCTCCAGAAATCTAAGTTCCCAGTTGCCAGCCTGGCCAGCCTCTGGGCAGGCGTTCCTGAGGCCTTGGTCTCAAGTTTGTCCTGGTTCTTTTAAGAATGTTGGGGAAGGCAGAAGTTAAAACTGTTATTTAAGTTGTTTTATCTGTAGATTTTATTGGCACTATTTTGTGTAGAATCAAAAGGTGGTTAATTTTTCTCTCTTACCACTGGGTTTTTCAGAATATAAAATTAATTAACTTAGCCATTTATTTAGTACCGTGTTCCAGTTTCTGTTGTAGGCTCAGGAAATACAGCTGGAGCAAGGCAAATACTCAACTTTGAAGCCCCAGTGTTGAGCTGATGCAGGTTATTTCTTTTTAAAGGGTATAGTAAAGCCAGCTAGCCAGCTAGACACCATTAAATGTGTGATGTACACACACCTCACTGAACTCACCAGAGAGAGAAAGGGCATGTTTCCTCCTAACATTTATTTAATAAATGTACTGAACATCTAAAAAAAAAAAAAAAAAGGAAAGGAAAAGGAAAAGGGAAGGGAAGGGAGGAAGGGAGGAAGGGAGGAAGGAAGAAAGGAAGAAAGGAAGAAAGAGAAAGAAAGAAAAGAAAAAAAGAAAAGAAATCCGTATTCTCAACACTGCAGACCCTTATTAGAACTTGGACATTTGGGGCCAAAAGTTCCCTGATAGTATGGCAAACTAACACCCTTATTATTTTTTTCAGAGCATCATATCAAATCAATTAACATTCTCATCTCAATTGACTCACTTGGCACAAAGAAACCTACATGCTGTGAGAAGAAAGAAGATGGGAGAAGAGTTCAGAAGGCGTGGAAAGAGACAGGTGGAAGAGGCACTGGACAGTTTACTAAAAAGTGAATATTTACACCATTGAATACCCCACTTCCTTAAAAATCCAGATTATAATTTTCTGAAGTTGGGAATAAAAGTTGTTCCACATCAAATCAGGTAGAGTAATTCTTAGCATTTTTATTCACATACGCATTTGAGAATATGATGATGATGATAAACTTGTCCCAGGAAAAATGTACATACTACTTACGCACAAAATCCTCTTCTATAAGAACCACTAGTTATAATACTCAAGATGGAACCCTATTAGTCACAACACACATATACTAAATAATCCTGATCACTTAACTCCCATAAAATCTTTTTTGCAGCTAACCTAGTTTAACTCTATAGCTTAAGCCCCTCTCCACTGTTTCTGTTGTTTGCTTCAGAAAAGATTATTACAGACCTGCTTGTATAAGTTTTTTATATATGCTTGCAAAGGGCTATGAAATTTTATGATTATTCCTGAAGTTGAAACTTTTCTAATCTTTCCTTACAGGTTGTGGCATAGTGTGCTAGTTACTTTCCAATATTCAGTTTGCCCTTCTGTGTTAGTTACTCAGCTATATGATTATATTTTTTGAGCCTCTCTTGCAGCTAGGTGTGGCCATGTGACTAGGCTTTAAGCTAGTAATGTGTAAGCATTGTGCTTTGTAGATATTCTGGGGGGAAAAAATCTCCCTATCTTATTTGAATGAAGACAAAATAGCTGGAGAACAATAGCCATCCTGAGCCATGAGTTTGAGGTGTGATGGGCAACACTGTGTGTTGACCCTCCTACTAGAAATAAATTTCATGAGAATAGGCACCTTGTTTATCTTGGTCAAAGCAACATCCCCAGCACCTAAAAACGTGTGTGGCATGTGGTAAGGGCTCAGACTTTGAATGGGTATTGAATGAATGAATGAATGAATGAATGAATGAATGAATGAGTGAGTGAGTGAGTGAGTGAGTTTACACCAAACCATGTAAAACACTGATCATAAAGTCCTTCCAGGGGATATTCGGCTATCAGTAGCAAATGTAGTCTCCATTTCTATCACAAAATCAAACTCTTGCTTAGTTCAAATTCATTATACTATTAGTTTCCCTTTGCTCTCCCAGATTTGCTACTGTTATAGGAGAGTGTTTTTTCTTGCTGCTCTCTAATCTTCTCTTCAAACAAAATATTTTCAGATCTGTTTTCCTAATAACTCTTTCCAATAATTTTTTGCTTAGCAAGTTTAAAATTCTTTCATTTCCAAAGCCATGCATTTTTATTGTGTGTCTGTTGTTAAATGCAGGGACTATTTGGTAACTTAATCTTAGGTGTTCTCTCAAGTCTACAGATACCATAAATGGTATCTAATGACATTCCTAGGACTTCAAGATGATATTATTGCCATGAAATGCAGTCACTAGGTCCTAAGGAGTTAACTAGACACTGTTTACTGAAACTGAACTTCATCAAATCCTTTCCCATTCCACTGTGGTCTTCCACATTTCAATATATTGCTCATTCTTATCACCAGATCTTACTTATATCTTTTAAGCTATTAAATTAAATATTAATCATCCCAGCTTCCCTGATACTTGAGGTGACCTTTCCCTCCTGCTATCCTTTAATAAAGGGGAACACTCCCTCTGGTTCTTTTTTTAGCACCTCAAATCATTAAAAGGTTTGTAAATGTTTACACTTTTTACAATTATGTCACTTTCTTCTTAATATTTTTCTTTACTCTTCTCCAAAAGTTGGTGCTATTTCTTTTAACTATTAGGGAGAAGTAAATAGCCTCCTCTTCTACTTTTGTGATATACTATTTATAGTAGAGCTCCTTGGTTTTTGCTCAAATTTCTTTTCAATCTACCCACCTTTGAGGAAAGATATTATTTGGTTGTTGAGTTTTTCTGAAGTGCAGACTTCTCTACACATTATCCTCTCTTTCCCAGAGTAGCTTTCTAATTTGAAGCCTCTTAAGATATTTCCTGAGAGGAATGGTGGTGTGAGAGATCCCCTTGGTCTCTCCCCTTGAAGTTTCAACAATTTGAACAGCTATAACTCAACAAAGAAGTCCCTACTCAATGCACAAACGTGCCTAAGATATCCACACTTTGAAATATCTAAAGGTGGGCGAGTGGTAACAAATGGGGAAGGTGAGATGGGAGAAGGGCTGAGATAAGCCAGGAACACAGCCCTGCAGGCAGGAGCTCCAGGTAGAGTTCATTCTGGAGAGGAGAGGAATCTGGTTGTGGCTGATGCTCCCTTTAACCGGGAGGAGCAAAGAGATTCAGTGAGCGTTCCTGCAGGAGTGAGCAGTTTGAGCTGTGGCTGAGCCCAGAGACTTGGGCAAGGACACAGCACAAGGGCACAGCTGCAGTTGTCGGGTGGTTGGCATTGTAGAGAAACAAATTCATGGAGCCCTGTCACCCCATAGCCTCTCAGAGATCACCTCCCTTTGCCCTTGGTGTCAGGTATTGGAGCACATTACGTGCAAACCCAAGAACTGGTACTACAGAATCACTATTTCTCCTGAGCAAACAGTGTACTCTGTGACTGGTCCCAAAGTTGGGGCTCAAGAGGGATCCTGTGGATGTCTGAGGTTATAATTACTAGGAGAGCAAAACAACACAAAAGGCTGCCGGATTCCCCCAGCCCACCCCACCCTCACACATCACGGCTACACTGAGAGCAGCACTAGGATTTCACAGAGCTAAAAAAAACTTATGATTCAGTGTCACCTACCGGAAAATAATAGGAAGACCTCTTTGTACTAATCTGCTAGAGAAATTCCACTCACACGTAGATGCCTAGACAGAGAAGGAATCCATCAAATACCATGAATAAGCAAGGCAGCTCAGAAAGAAAATAAAAAATTTCCAGAAAACAAAGTTAAAGACATAGAAATATATGATATCAATGATAGAGAATTCGAGATTGTAATTCTGAAAATACTCAATGAGATATGAGAACGTACAGATATGCAATTTGATGAGCTCAGAAAACAAATCAACAAACAAAATAAATACTTTACCAAAGATATTGAAACTTTAAAAAAGAACCAAACATAAATTCTAGAGATGAAGAACTCAGTAAGAGAGATCAAGAATGAGCTAGACACCCTGGCCAGGTGTCTCAGTGGTTAGTGCATCGACCCACACACCTAAGGGTCTTGGATTTGATCCCCAATCAAGGGACTGTACCTGGGTTGCAGGTTCAATCCCTGGCCCTGGTCAAGGCATGTCCAGGAGGCAACCAATCGTTGTGTCTCTCTCACATTGATGTCTCTCTCTCTCTCTCTCCCTCCCTCCCTTCTACTCTCTCTAAAAATCAATGGAAAAAACATCCTCGGATGAGGATTAACAAGAACAACAAAAAGAAGGAACTAGTAAGCATGGCAATAGAGCAGCAGATGAAGGAAAGAATTAGTGATATCGAAGATAGAAATGATGCAGAAGAGTGACGTCAGAGGAATGGCAGTGTGAGAGATCCCCTTGGCCTCTCCCCCTGAAATGTCGACAAGTTAGTCAACTATAAATCAACAAAGGATTTCCTGCTCAATATGGAAGCATGCCTGAGAGACCCGCTCATTGACCCATCTAAAGGTCAGCAACTGGGAATAAATGGGGAGGTGGGAAGAGAGGGGAGCCCAGACAGCCATAGACACAGCCCTGCTGCCAGCAGCTGGCAGCAAGCTCAGCCCAGAGAAGGGAAAGAAGGGAGGAAGCCAGAGGTAGCAGGCACTTCTGTGGGCAGAGAGGACCAGACGGTTATGGTGGGCTCTCCAGCAGGGTGAGCAGTGCAAACAGCCGCTGAGCCAGCAGAGACACCTGGGCAAGGAAACAGCACAGGGGTCAAGCAGTGGTGTTTCAGACAATGAAATGAAGCCACAGAGCCCCACCGCCCCTTGGACTCCCAAAACTCACCTCCAGTTGCCCTTGGTGTCTGGTTGAGGAGCACATTATCTGCAAACTGAGAGCTATTGCAATGGAATTGCTGTTTCCCTCTGTGATTGATCAAGAAAATTGGTATTATACCAAGCATATTCTCTGACCACAATGTTTTGAAACTAGAAATCGACTGCAAAAAGGAAGTAAGGAAACTTACAAACATGTGGAGATTAAACAACATACTACTAAAAAAATGACTAGGTCAAAGAAGAAATAAAAGATGAGATCAAAAGATATAGAGAGACTAATGAGAATGACAATACAAGATATCAAAACTTCTGGGATGCAGTGAAAGCAGTAATAAGAGGGAAGTTTATATCATTACAGGCCTATCTCAAGAAACAAGAGAAATCCCAGGTAAACAACCTAACATCACACCTTCAAGAACTAGAAAAAGAAGAACAAAAGCAACCCAAAGTCAGTAGAAGAAAGGAAATAAAAATTAGAGGAAAGTTGAATGAAATAGAGAACAGAAGACTATACAAAAAATTAATAAAGCAAAGAGCTGGTTCTTTGAAAAGATTAATAAAATTGACAACCCCCTGGCTAGGCTCACTAAGAAAAAAAGAGAAAGGACCCATATAAATAAAATCAGAAATGAAAGAGAAGTCACCACAGATATCACAGATTTACAAAGGATCATACAAGAGTACTATGAAAGACTATATGCCACCAAGTCAATAACCAAGAAGAAATGGATACGTTCCTAGAAATACATAACCTTCCTAGACTAAAAAAGCATGGAGAATTAGAAAATCTAAATAGAGCTATCAGCAGCAAGGAAATTGAAACAACCATCAAAAACTTCCCAAAAATAAAAGTCCAAAACCAGGTGGCTTCTCTAGTGAATTCTATGGAACATTCAATGAAGATTTGCTACCTAAACTCTTAAAGAGTTTGTTCTTGTGACCACAAATTAAAGCTGAGAGTGCTCTGGACATAGAGGGACTTTAGGAGAGGGTGGTAAGAGGGCAGGTCAAGTAACAAGGATTAAGCATAAGCCTATAATAAGTAATGTTAAGTCAGAAAAATTTGGGGGGGAAATGGAGTTCATGAGTACAGAATTTACCTTTTTATGTTTAACGTGATGGTTAAAATTTTATCTCAATTTGTTTTAATTTGGGGGGGCATTCAATAAGTGATATGAGTAATCTCAATTTCAGCACTTGCCTATTATTAAGTTTTCATAGAAACAAGGTCAAAACACCAAATATAAAGTAAAAGACATTGAAAAGTTGCTTTTAATGTCTTTATTTCAGACAATTTTATATTGGTTTCCCTGGAAGCTAAGAAATACCTACTTAGATGTAAAATATTCCAGCTTTTCTATAACTGAGAATTGAAGTATTTGGTTACTTACACAAAATCACACTTGAATGATGCTCTGCCTTGTTCTTCTGAAACAGAAGAACATTTCTATTTTTGTTGGTTTTTTTTGTTAATCTTCACCTGAGGAGAGTTTTTTCCATTGATTTTTTTAGAGACAGTGGAAGGGAGGGAAGGGAGAGAGAGAGAGAGAAACATTGATGTGAGAGAGAGACATGGATTGGTTGCCTCCCACACATGCCCCAACCTCGGCTGGGGATCAAACCTGCAACCCAGGTACATGCCTTTGACCAGGAGGGAATCCAACCATGACCCTTCGGTGCGTGGGCCAGTGCTCTAACCACTGAGCATGCCAGCCAGCGCAAACATGTTTTCTTTAAGTCATTTCAAAGAGATACTCTTACAAACCTAATACAGATTTCAGACAGACTTAAAAGAACTTGTCTGGTACCTTGCCTTTATCTAACAATATATCTAATATAACTGATGGTGGCATCAGTAACACAAAAAGGACACTAAGGTCCTGTCATCCAATCTGATTATTACTCACCAACTGCTCACACAGCCTTTATGCTCTGACCTTATGAGCTTTGCTCATTCGTTGGCTAAAGGTGCTCTCTCAAGTGACCCCCTTTCTCCCTCTGCNCTCACCAACTGCTCACACAGCCTTTATGCTCTGACCTTATGAGCTTTGCTAATTCGTNTGCTCACACAGCCTTTATGCTCTGACCTTATGAGCTTTGCTCATTCGTTGGCTAAAGGTGCTCTCTCAAGTGACCCCCTTTCTCCCTCTGCCCCTGAGGAGTGAGTAGGGAAGGAATTGGCAGTATTTTGTAGAAAAGCCTCTGCGCAACAGCTCTTTACTCTTTCCAGAATCTACTTCAAACCCTCTTTTTTGTGTGTGACAATATTAATAAGCCTTTGGGGTAAAAGATTGGAAAATACAGAAAAGTCATTCACTTATGCTGAGAATATCCAGAACTTTTATTAAAATTTTGGTGTTTATCCTTTCTGAGGCTTTTGTATGCATATAAACATAACCTTTTCTTTTACAAAAATGAGGTCGCCGTTTCTGTGCTGCTCTATAACTTTGTTATAAAGGGATGTAATGCCATAAAGCTCCTGGAACTGCGCTTGACCCCTAGAGGGCGCTCCAGGATGTATTTTGAGGCAACTGGGTGGCGCTCTCCTGCAGTCCTTTAATAAACTGTTCCTGTACCTTCAAAAGGCTGGAGCATCATTCAGTTATCCAGCCTTCATGATGGGCTGTCTTTCAAAGTGAAACCGTACAAAATCCCAGTATAAAGCTCTATTCTGGGGACACCGATAAAACAGATGCATTGTATCTACCTGTAGAATTCAGATGGTATACTTTCTTATAACTTAATTTGGATGTCATTTTGCAGTTCAGGTGTTTTAACATTAAATGTTCTTATCTCAAATTAAAGTCACCATTGGGGTACACTGAAACACTTAGATATTTATTGGGCACCATTCCAGATGCAGGAGAAACAGTGATATTCAAGACAAAGCCCCTACCTATTTTTTATGAGTAAATGCTTCTCGACTTGTTATCTGCCTTTCGCCAATTTATAGGACCCCAAAGTGGTTGGTTTTGACAATTTTGTCCAGTTTTATACTTGTTTTTGCAGGGAAGAGGATTTGCTGACCTTTTCATGACACCACAGCTGGAAAGTTGGCCCCCAAACTGCTTTTTAAAAATTCTAAATGTGATGGGGCATGAAATTTCCGGTTACATGTTGTTGTTGTTCTTTAAATATGTTTTTATTGATTTTTAGAGAGAGAGAAAGGGAGAGATAGAAACATCGATGAGAGAGAAACATCTGTTGTCTTCCTCCCACCGGAGATCGAGCCTGCAACCTGGGCATGTGCCTTGACCAAGAATTAAACCAGTGACCTCTTGGTGCACAGGTCAATGCTCAACCACTGAGTCAAAACAGCCAGGCTCCCAGTTTTATGTTGTTTCCACTGCCCCTGTGGTTCTGTATCTGTTTTGCTTCATTAATTTAAAGTACCTGCCTGACCCTTGAAGGAATTTGAGTTTATGAATTATGGTCCGCAGGGATGACACCTGGATAATGTCCTAAATGTAATGAAATGTGTAAATAGTGCAAATCGTTCCACAAACATCTGCCTATTAAAAGGACCGTGTGCTAGATCTTCTCAGATAGAAATGCATTCAAGAGAAGGTCCTTCTCTTGAAGGCCCCTAAAATCCTGGAGGAAATGAGGAGCATAGATGCAAAAAACAAGCAATAAATGCAATCACTGGAGTATAAGATAAACACAGGAATGTTCTTTGTAGGCTGGGAGGACAAAATATGATTTCTTAAGCTTACAAAATACAGACCCTTTACATGGTTTGGAAGGTTTCTTTCCAATTACTAAAGACTATTTAGGTACTTTTACTTAGGTACTTGGAATGAAATTGCTTCAGTTGAAGAGAATAAACTGGCACACCCTAATAAAAAGAGAAGAATTTGGGATGCTGAATATTAAGTGTGACATGTCATCTTGCTGTTGACAGGCTGTGGACTGTAGACAGAATACTGAACCAAGAACCAAGGGACTTGAGTTCTAGTCCCAGCTCTACAACTATCTAGCCGTGAGATTTGGAGTAGATCATCTACCATTGTGAGAAGTCTGTTCCCACAACTGGAGAAAGAGAAAGAGGTGAGGAAGGGGAAATCATTTTTGGTTCAAATTCTCTGTGGTTCTAAGGGAGAAGGAAAGAGCCTTTTTCCTACAGTCTCTAGAAGATATGATTATGTTTGTTCCCTTGTATGGTAGAATAAATCACAGATTTGCCCAAAGCAATAATCCTTAGAATGATTAAGCAGGGTTTCTGAATTTATTTCAATAAAAATATTTTGACAACCTGATGAAAATTACAACATCTTTATCTGGGGGTGGGAGAAGCACTTACTCCCACACACACAAATCTCAGGGAATTGGCCCACCCCTGGAAGCCCAAGTCAGGGACTCTAAAGACAAAACAATGAAAAAAAGGCCCTGACAAGCTTCAAATTCTTGGACTTGGCTTTGACTGTTGTAGGCTTCTCATTTTTTTAGAACAAAGAAAAACAAAAGTGAAGGTCTGAATTAAAAACTAACTAGAAAAATCTGTGATAGAAAACAAAAACTGTTCATGGCCGAAAATCTCACTCTTAACAGAATCCCAGGCCCAAGGGAGGAATGAAAAATTAAAGACATTAATATTTATCGTAGCCAAAGAAAGAAAGACTGCAGGAAAGGATTAGTAAGTCTGCAACAGCAATTATAACCAAAGACAGGAAACTAAGACCAGAGGCTCATCTCATTAGTTAATTTGTATGCAAAACTACAGAGGGATATTTTCGTCTGGGTACCTCAAGTGACCCTTTGATCCTTCCAGGAGAAGAGTTCTCAGGAATCATCTGAAGAGTTGTTGATAGTCTGTCATGCTGCTTATTCTTGACCTCTCCCTTTGGGAAAGTGCAGAAGGAATTCAGATGGTTAAGTGAGCATTTTTAAATTTTGTAGCTGTTGTTGTTAATCCTTACCCGAGGATATTTTTTTCCATTGACTTTTAGAGACAGTGGGGCGGGGGATGTGAGAGAGACAGACATGTCATCAATTGGTTGCCTTACACCCTCTCCCTGACCCAGGGCAGGGAACGAACCTGCAACCCATGTGTGTGCAGTGCTGATGTCAGGGAATTGAACTCCCAGACCCTTCGGTGCACGGAGGGGGTGGGGTGGGGAACACTCTACCACTGAGCCACACCAGCCAGTAAGCATTTTTTATTTGAACTCCTGGAACATTTACATTTGTTGCTTATTTTGAAATCTAGATGAAACTGTTTTACAAAGAACCAGTCTAAGGGCTAAGGTATAAAAGTGTCTGACAGAATGGAAGAGGCAGAGCCTAGGGAGCCAACATGGCCTTTGGTTTCATGTTAGCACAGCCTAGGCTGCACAGAGCTGGGGGACGAAGGTCAAAGGTTACCAAGCTCCAGGGCAGGGACTCCCAGATTCTCCAAAGTCACAGGCAAGGCACAATCATTATTTGCTTCCAATACTGCTGCTATATTTACAGGCTCCCAAGTCACTTAGCAGGGAGAATGGCATCAGATGCTGAAGGACAGAATCCATAGTTCTCAGGACTTTGGAGGGAAAAGATGAAATGCAACAACTTGTGTGTTCACTTGCAGGTCTGTGCTTTTTGCTATTTAGAAGGTTGCTGAAGCAAGCAGCCTCAAAGCATGGTTTTACAATAGCTAAGATCTGGAAATAGCCCAAGTGCCTATCAGTAGATGAGTAGATAAAAAGGTAGTACATTTACACCATGGAATACTATGCACCTGTAAAAAAGAAGGCTCTCTTACCCTCTGAGACTGCATGGAGGGACCTGAAGAATATTATGCTAAGCAAAATAAGCCAGTCAGAGAAAGACAGGTATCACATGATCTCACTCACAGGTGGAATCTAATGAACAAAATAAACTGACAACCAAAGCTTAGTTTAAATTGTCTGGTGGTGGATCCTGCCACACAGGGAGGGTTTTTGTGTCATCTATGTTGTATCCTCCAATAGCATGATTTCCTGACCAAATACAGGAATCAGTCAACCTGAGGAGCTCCCCCCAAAGTTTTCAAGCCACTACATTTTGGAAATTGTAGGAAAGATCACCAGTGTTTGCACAGTTTCCATCCATTGATTTGTCTTCAGTTTTCCATCTGTCACTGATAGGATAATCAATGGGAAGGCTAAATAAAGCTTCTCTAAACACTGCCACATGTTCTCCCAATTCCATATTTGTATATCCATCTGCCCACCAGAGCCCCACTCGAATATCTAATCAGGCATCACAAATTTTACATGTCCAAAACTGAACTCGATTCTCTCTCCAAACCTGCTGCTCTTCCAAGGGTTCCTAAGGTATCTTTGAGTCCTCTTGTCTCCCTTACCACATCAAATCCACGTTCCCTGACAAAGTTTCCCAACATCTTCAGGGTCTGGCCACCTGTCACTATCCCCACCGCCACAACAGAGTCTGGGCCACTGTTTCTCTCGCCTAGAATAATAAAAGGGCCTCCTAATTAGCCTCCCCATGTCCACCTTTTCTCTCTACACTTCACACAGCAACAGCAATCCTTTGAATGCTGAGTCAGGTCCTAATATTCCCTATTCAAATCCTCTGACCACCTCCCCTCTACCTCGAAATTGAACCAGTCCTTGCCACAGCACATGAGGCTGTGTTCCTGGCTGCTTCTCTGACACCCTCCCCTCGCTCCCTCCGCTCCAGCCCACCAGCCTCCAGGCTGTTTCCAAACCACTCCAAGCTTACTCCTACCTCAGGACCTTTCCAAATATAGTTCCTCCTGCTGAGAGAACTCTCCCCAAATCCCTGATATCTGCAAGGCTCACCCCTCCTTAAACCAAGTCTCTGCTCAAATGTCATCTTGTCACAGACCTTCCTAGCCATGCTACCTAAAATATCAGTACATCTTTTTCTTTCCTCTAACACTGTTCACTTTTCTTCATAGCACATATCATTACCTGACAATACTACATATACTTTTTTAAAATTTTATCTTTTTTCTTACCCCCCACCCCACTCCAATAGCCCTAGGACCTAGAATGTGTTTGGTATATCATAGACATTCCATAAATTTTTAAAAATTTATCTTTATTGTTGAAAATATTACAAATGTCCCCTATTTTCCCCATTGACCCCTTCCACCCTGCACCCACTCCCTGCCCCAGGCCTTCTCCATACTATTGTTTGTGTCCATGGGTTATGCATATATGCATATAAATTCTTTTTCTTTTTTTAAAATTTTATTTTTGTTTAAAATATTACAGATGTCCCTTTTTATCCCCAATGACCCGTTCCATCCCGTAATAAATTCTTTGATTATTCTTTCCCCACCCACCTTCCCTCTGAGATTTGTGAGTCTGTTCCATGCTTCTATGTCACTGAATCTATTTTGTTCATCAGTTTATTATGTTCTTTAGAGTCCACGTATAAGTGAGATCATGTGATATTTGTCTTTCTCTGCCTGGCTTATTTCACTTTGAATAATATTCTCCCGGTCCATCCATACTGTCCCAAAGCACAAGGGTTCCATTTTCTTTACAGCTGCATAGTATTCCATGGTGTAAATGTCCCACAGCTTTTTTATGTCATCTACTAATGGGCACTTGGGCTATTTCCAGATCTTAGCTATTGTAAATTGTGCTGCTATGAACCTAGGGGTGCATATATTCTTTCTGATTAGTGTTTCAGGATTCTTGGGATATATTCCTAGAAGTGAGATCACTGGGTCAAAAGGCAGCTCCATTTTTAATTTTTTGAGGAAACTCCATGCTGTTTTCCACAGTGACTGCATCAGCCTGCATTCCCACCAGCAGTGTACCAGGGTTCCCTTTTCTCCACACCCTCGCCAGCACATGTCATTTGTTGACTTGTTGATAGTAGCCATTCTGATAGTTGTGAAGTGATACCTCATTGTGGTTTTAATTTGCATCTCTCTGATGATTAAGGACTTGAGCATTTTTTCATGTTTCTTGGCCATGTATATATGTCCTCTTGGAGGAGTGTCTATTCAGGCCCTTTGCCTATTTTTTAATTGCATTGTTTACCTTCCTCTTGTTGAGTTGTATGAGTTCTTTGTACACTTTGGAAATTAGCCCCTTATCAGATGTATCCTTGGCAAATATGTTCTTCCATACCATGGGGTTCCTTTTTTATTTTGAGGATGATTTCTTTTGCTGTACAGAAGCTTTTTAGTTTGATGTAGTCCCGTTTATTTTTTCCTTTGTTTCTCTTGCCCTAGGAGATGTATCAGTGAAAATTCCACTACGTGAGATGTCTGTGATTTTACTGCCTATGTTTTCTTCCAGGACTTTTATGGTTTCACATTTTACACTTAAGTCTTTTATCCATTTTGAATTTATTGTTGTGCATGGAGTAAGTTGGTGGTCTAGTTTCATTTTTTTTTGCATGTACCTGTCCAATTTTCCCAGCACCATTTATTAAAGAGACTGTGTTTAATCCTTTGTATGCTCTTGCCTCCTTTGTCAAATATTAATTGAGCAAATGGCATGGGTCTATTTCTGGGGTGTCTGTTCTATTCCATTGATCTATATGTCTGTTGTACCAATAGCAGGCTGTTTTTATTACAATGGCTTTGTGGTATAGTTCGACATCCAGTAAAGTGATCCCTCCAACTCTGTTCTTCTTTCGCAAGATGACTGCAGCTATTTGGGGTCTTTTTTGGTTCCATATAAATTTTTGGAATATTTGTTCTAGCTCTGTGAAATATGCTGTTGGTATTTTAATAGGAATTGCCTTAATCTATAGATTGCTTTGGGTAGTATGGACATTTTAATGATATTAATTCTTCCAATCCATGAACATGGTATATTCTTCCACTTGTTTATATCTTCCTCTATTTATTTTTTCAATGTCCTATAGTTTTCCGAGTACAGGTCTTTTACATCCTTGGTTAAGTTTATTCCTAGGTATCTTATTTTTTTAGTTGCAATGGTAAATGGTATCATTTTTTTAGTTTCTTTTTCTGAGAGTTCATTGTTGGTGTATACAAATGCCTTCGATTTTCAGA